TGACCACGCCTGTCTTTTCTCTATAAAACAAAGCAATAATAAAACTAGCAAGATAAAAAACTGAAAATGAGTGTTCTTAACTCCAATATTTTTAAATACATTGAGTCAATATTTGCTGAGGAAAGATTGAATACAGATTACAATGCACCTATAATCCAACTTTAGTTTTAAAAACATACTTTTAAGTTTGGAATGTTTATAGGCAAGTTTGTATATCCAAAATACATCACGCCCCAGCACATTTCTTAAAGTTACTACAATGTTTAACTCATTTAGTACCAGGAGTGACTTACTCATATCAGTTTAACAAGTCTCGGCAGTGTACAAGTGGAAGAGATGGAAGAGATACTATCACAGCTTATAAACAGAGAGGAGAATGACTAATGTTACCAGACTTGGAAGTGCCAAGTTTTTTTAAAAAGTTTCAGTGTTGATCTCCATGATAGTTTAATAACAGACACAAACTGCCCCGAGTCTCATTCATCAACATGAATGAGGTGGGATTTCTGCAAGCACAGGTGTGCATCATAGAGGTGTGCACATGCCTGTAGTATGTGTTCTTGCGCTGCCATTGAAGATGAGGTGGATAAGAGGGGAAATGCCTTGATGCTGTCCTCAGTGTTGACAGGACACAAGCCAAGGAAAAGACCTCCTGTACCATATTGTGACCATTCCAAATAGAGCCCAGAGATGAGATGTGCCCAGAGAATAGAGTGGATCTGAAGTAAATATTAATAGCTGTTTTCCACTGTAGGAAAAATGTACATGATCGGCTGGTCTCAGATTTCTCTTTTGTAGCCTCTACCTAGACACTTTTGTTCCCTCTGCTTTTCTAGGTAACACATTATTTTAGCTGGAGGGACGCATAGTAGTCTAATAAACTAAAAAGGGTTTTGATTTTCTTGGAATCTGTTAGTAGTGGAGCCAATCTGAGTTTAACTTGAGAAACAAGACTATGTCCTGGCCCCCATCTCCTTTTTGGAAAATACTGGTGATAGTTCTGGGTAGGACTTACAAATCATGGCATTACTTAGGATACTTACTAAGAGCATAGATTTTTAAAAGCATATAATATCCCTTTATAACAACTGATCTTTTATTTTGTGACTACTTGCTTACTTATGATGCCTGGGGTTTCCCTGTCCTGATTTTAAAATCAGCCACTTTAGCAAGTCAGGTATGTTTTGAAATGAATATGTCAGAACATTATTATAATGAATCAGTATAACTTCAATCTAAGAAAAGCCATCTATAACCAACCAATAACCAACATCATATTAAGTGGACAAAAACCAAAACGATCAGTATAAAATCAGGAACAAGACAAGGATGTTCACTATCACCGTGCCCATTCACTGTAGTGCTAGAAACATTAGCCAGAGCAATTAGATAAGAGAGAAATAAGAGGAATAAGAATAGCTAAACAATTACCATTATTATCATCATTCACAGATGACATGATACTCTACATAGAAGATTCCCAAAACTGCATCAAAAGACTTTTAGATTTAATAATCATGTCAGTAGCATAGCTGGATACAAAGTCAGCACTCAAAAATCAATAGCATTCCTGTCCACAAACAATAAACTCACTGAGAAATTAGGGAAACCACACCCTTTACAATAGCAACCCCAAAAGTGAAATACTTAAGTTATCAATCTAACAAAGAAAGTAAAAGATCTATACATTAAGAATTACAGTACTGTGAAAAATGAGATTGAAAAAGCTATCAGAAAATGGAAAGATATTCCTTGCTCATAGATAGGAAGAACCAATACAGTAAAAAAATGGCCATACTCCCAAAATTGTTAATGCCATCCCAATCAAAATAGCATTAGCATACCTCACAGATCTAGAAAAAACATTTCTAAAATTCCAGAAACATCCCTAAAATTGGGACCAGAAGAGATCTAGAATAGCAAAAGCAATCCTGGGCAGCAAAGGCAAGGCAAGAGACATCACAATTCATGACTTCAGATTATACTACAAAGCCACTGTAATAAAATCAATAGGATATTGGCAAAAAAAAAAAAAAAAAAAAAAAAAAACCCAAAACAAAACAGACCTAAAGGTCAGTGGAACAGATTAAAAGATGCAGACACAAATACAAATACACCCAGTCACCTTATTTTTGACAAAGGAGTCAAACATGTTCACTGAAAGAAGCATAAATTCTTTGACAAATGGTGCTGGAAGAACTAAGTTTCTCCATGTTGAATACTAAAACTAGACCCATGCCTATTTTTTATAGAGCAGAATATATTTATTTAGATAAAGACACCTTTCTGAGAGAGACACAGAAGTGGTCCCAAGTGGGTTCCCAAACACTGTCTTTTCTAGGGACTTTTATACAGTAAATCCAGGATGTGAGGCAAATCCAAAGCAGGAGGGGGGCATGAGAACTCATAAGGTGGGCATGAGGTGGGACAGAACTGTGGTCAATCAATAAGGCTATGAGTGTAATTACTCAGGACAGATTGATAAATCAGGATCCAATAGGGAAGCAAGTCAGGTGAAAGCAGGAACAGGGCCTTTGCTTGTAGGGGTTTGGATTAGTGGCTTCTTCAGGATTCCTCAAGGTGATCAAAGTGTTCAAATGATATACCTACTTAGAATATCAATCTCTGATGTTTATACTTAGGGTGTGGGTTTATTTGTTTTGTCTTTTGTCTTGAGATTTGGGCCACAGCAGAGGTGTCTGTCTTCTCCAAGGTTTCAAGGTTTCTGGCCTTCTGCACTGGCTCTTTCAAGCACCTAGCCCTGTCTGACTGCCTATAATATTTCTATCTGTCTTAGTTATTTTTTACTCATCCCTGAGTCAAAATACCTGATGCCCAAAGTTGGGAAAGGAAAGTATTATTTCTTACAGTTTTTGGAGGTTTCAGTCCATACTCAGTTGACTCCAAGGAAAGGTGGCATGGCAGGGCTGCAATTCATGGCAACTGCAAACAGCAAGGCAGAAACTGGCAAGAGAGAGACATACACCTTCTTCCTGCCATTACATTGTATCCTGGTTCCACCACTATATGGGTGTAGCACTGACAATGCTAGCTCTAGAAAATGAACCAATCACAAATGCATAACATAAAGGCATGAGGCCTGGGGGCCACTGATGTAAACCATGACATTCCACCCCTGACCCCCATAACTCATGCACATCTTTTATACAAAAGATATTTAGTCTATCTCCAAGAGTTGCCAAAGTCCTAACAGTTTCAGAATTGCTGAGAAGTCCAAGTCCCAAGTCTCCTCCAAGATCTATGGCAACCTCTTACCTATAACCCCCTGTACAAATGAAACAAGGTTAAACATTTCTGAAATGCAAAGGCACAACATAAACATTATCATTCCAAAAGTTACAAACAGGGAAATAGAAAGCATTGGAAACAAAGCAAGTCCAACATCCAGCAGGGCGGAGATTAAATCCTAGAGTTCCATGCTCAGCATTTGAAGCAATCTGGTTGCAAGCTTCAAAAGGTTTGTGTGATTCCACCCCCACAGCACTTCCAGGGATTCCAGCTCTTGAAGTTTCTCTCTTAAACCCTCTCTGCTCACTTTTTGCACCTTTTCTTGGATGATCCACATTCCTGGCTTTTCCAAACTTCTGGGGTCTCCACTGCACCTTTGTCTTCACCTTTACATCTTTACAAATTGCCCTCTCAGGGGAACACTGCTTGGCTTCCCAGGCCTTTTGCAATTGAGGTGGAAGCCATCTTACCCCCAGAATTTGTGCATTTTCCTTGTACCTAAAATCAGCACCTGTGGTTGCCATCAAGATTTGCTGCCAGCTGGATCAGTAGCCAGGCTTTTCTCTATCTTGGAAAGAGGGGTCAGTTGCCTGGATCTTTAGGCTCTGTGAACCTGATTGTGAAGAAAAGCTTCTCTATGTTGCCACCATTCTGGAACCTCATGTGGCCTCTAGAGCATGGTGCTCTGTAGCTTTCTCTTCTGATCAAATTCTTTCACTTTTGCAGTTTTGAGGCTGCAAAGGGTGATGACCTGCTGCTTCCTGGGATGCCCTATGGCCATCTTTCTTATATCTTTGTTTCTTCTCAGCAATCAAAGTCTCAACTCTATCTTTACAATCCACAACTTTATTGGAGTTTTGCTTTTGGCCAAACTTACAGCATTGTACATTATCCTGCTGGGCTCTTTGCTCTTGATTTGCAACATAAAGCCCCTAACAATAGCCATGCCACAGCCTCAACATTTGACTGCCTTGAAATTTCCTTTGCCAGATTAATCAGTCCATTGCCCTTAGTCTCAGTCTCAGGCAAAGTCTCTGGGCATGAGCAAAATGTAAACTTTCTGCCAAGCCATAACACACATCGTGGGGAGTCCAATAACCAGTGCAGTCCTTCTTCCCAGTAGAAACCTCCCAAGCCTGGTCTTTACCATCAGGCTTTCTATCAGCCTTCTGGTCTCCTGAGCTCTGACTAGAATTTCCTCTACAGAACAGCCTAAGCTGCTCCAGCTCTCTGCATCCAGGCAACATGTCTGAACCTTCCCAAACTCTGCCCACTAGCCATTTCCAAAGCCTCTTGAAAAACATGGTCAGGTATAGTCACAGCAATGACCCCACTGGCAGTACCAAATTCTGTCATAGTTACTTTTTATTCATCGCTGAGACAAAATACCTGATGCTCAAAGTTGGGAAAGGGAAGGCTGATTTCTTATAGTTTTTGGAGGTTTTCGTCCATACTCAGTTGGCTCCAAGGCAGGGTAGCATGGTGAGGTCACAGTTCATGGCGGCTGCAAACAGTAAGGCAGAAACCAGCAAGAGAGAGAGCTACACCTTCTTCCTGTCATTACATGGTATGCTGGCTCCACCCCTATGTGGGTGTAGCACTGACACCATGAATCCAAGCTCTAGACAATGAACCAATCACAAATGCATAATGCAAAGGCATGAGGCCTGGGGGCCACTGACATGAACTATGACACTATCTAAGTCAGTTGCCTATAACATTCCCCACTCTGAAGAAATACTCCAAATTACCATGAGAGAGAAGTGGGTGATGACCCCTGTGGCTTCCTCAGGCTGAAGGAGATTGTAGTTGTTGATTGTCAGTGAGAGATACTCTGTAGAGGGCCTATTTAAAGGCCCTCAATAGAAACCAGGCATCTTCATCTTGTGTAGGCAAACAGCTTTAATTCTGGAGTAGACAAAGCCAAAGAAACAATTAAGTATTCATGGGTCAAATACTAAAATCATCAGGATAATTACAAGTATAGTTAGCAAAGATTTTCACCAAGAGGAACTAGTAATGACTAGAGGATAAAGATAAGGTCCAGGAAATCTTAGAGTCTGACATGTCATTGATTTGTTGTCTAATATCTTGAACAGCTATTTAGATATTAGCAGATGGATCAGGAATGTACACACAACATCCAGTTTTTACAATTGCACAAGTATCTCCTGTGTTGCTGTTAGAACATGTAACGCCATCTGATTTTGAAGGATAGTCTCATCAATTTTAATTCTGCATTTAGGAGAGACCAGATGCTATGTCATTTAAGGCCTACCAAGTATAGTTAGTTAAGGCCTCCCTATGTGTCACATTACTCTCTGGACAGGATCTGGTAGATCCCAGTAAGAAGAATCTAAAATCTAGCATATTTGTTATTGGTATTATCAATATGATTAATTGGGTTTGGCATCTTTAGTATGAACAAATTTTAATCAAAGCACGTATAATCAAAGTATATATAACAAGGCATGTATAATCAAAGCACATGCATTAGAACTAACAGGTAAATTAAGAAACTGTTTTTAAGAGATAGCAATTGAACCCATTGGCTCTTCTGTCCCTTATTGATGGAGTCTGACATTTTGTCATAAATCCCTCTAGCTTTAGTTGTAATTATCTCTTCATTTTTGACAATGTAGGAGAACCAGATCAATATATTTACTGACCAATGAAAAACTCTCTTTATGGTTTCATACATGAACAACAATGCATACTGTTTTGTAGAAACCAGTCTCAGCATCATTTTAATTAGTTGGCAATCTGGATATGTGTCACAGCATTTAGTCAAGATAAAAATCCTTCCAGGATTGGAGTTGGGCTTTTAGGCATAACTAAAAGGAATGAGTGTAGAGGAAGTTATCCCAGTTACATTTTAAGCAAACATTTTGGTGACTGTTTATTAAGGTACAATGCCTGGAAGTAAAACCAGAGTTGAGAAGGACAAAGAGACATACACCAGTGCCCAGCAATTGGGTGCTTTTTAATCTCTCATCGTGATTACTCAGGGCTCCTCCATGGAGGTAAAAGTAGAGAAGACAATCTGGCCAGAGGGAGGTGATGAGTACCCTGAGGCCCTTAAGTCTTGTAGGATCAGCCGATAGAATGAGTCTGAACTCTGGGGCTTTATCCTCAGAGGGCAGCCCAACCTCCAGTGGTCACCTTTGCACTTAAGGCATGGCTTAGGAGCCTCTTACAGCAGTCCCTGTTAAGGTGACCTGGCTTTCCACAGTAGTAGTAGTTGATTCTAGTCATTAAGGTCTTCTTGGAGCCCCTAAAATCAGACTTAAGATCTATTTCTTTTAAGGCCACAACAACGCAGCCACTTTTTGGTCTCTTTGTTTTCTGTTTTTGGTTTTCTCTCAGTCCTAATTATAGAATACTAAGGAGGCAGTTTTTACTAAAGTGTTAAGAACTGTCTAGAACAAAGGCTATCTTTTGTAACTTTTTCTAATATCTGGGGTAGATTGGGTAGTAAATATGTCTTTAAGTAGAATTTGTCCCTCTATTGAGTCAGAATCCAGGGAAGTATGCCTCAAGTAAATGATTTAAGAAGTCAGAGGAGTTTTCAAATCTCTCCTAAAAAATAGCTGACAACTTTTAAAAAATTAGAAGTCTTAGTTTTTGTCCTTCTTAGACCTTTAAGAATTCACATTTGAAAATGTCTTATGCTCTAATCTCTTGTCTGGTTGCTAGACCAATAGGGAACTGCTTGCGCCCCATAGGGAATTAGTTGTTCCACTGGCAATCTTCTGGCTGTCTAAAATTAACAAGAGGAGAGTCATCTCCAAATGCAATAGCTAGAAGTCAATGTTTGAGTTAAGATTAACATTATATCTTTTCAATCTAGCTCATAAGTCTGATTAAGTCCTCTAAAGACATTGATGTACTTACTTAGGGTCATCTGAAAATTTTCCTAGTTCTAGCTTACCTTGTTTTAAGCCACTGAGAGAAAGAGATCTATGAACTGGCAAAGTCTCATGTGAATTATATTTATACCTTAAACATAAATAAGAATTATTTATCAATGTTAAAAATTTCAACATTTTTTTCTCTTTTTTATAGTATACCTTAGTTGCAGAAGAGTATCATAATTAGTACTTGCTTCTACATTCCATTTTGGCTCTAGGGGATATGTATGCCTATAGTGCATGAGACTTTGACATTGAGTTACCTGTCTATACAAAAAGGAAATAATTAGGCACACATTTCTTATTCTTTTGTAATAATGTCCTTAAGGTATCCTTCAGGTTGATTGCACCCCAGGGAAAGTGGATGCCATCTGGAAAGAGTAGAAGACAAATTCAACTTTTATCCACCCTTGAAGAAGGCATGCAACTTTATCTTCCCCAGTAGCTGGTGAACATTGTTTTTATTGTGACAGTAATGTTTAAAGAAGGAAGCATAACTTTGTAATAAACAATTGATTTTGTTTATTGGAACAGAGCATATGTAAAAAGGAGAGTTGGGAGGAGTGTGCTTCCCAGGTTGTAAGGAGCTCACCTCTAGAGATAGATAGAACAATTGACTGGAGGAGCCTTGCCCCATGAACTAGGATGAAGAAGTCTCCAGACACTGTGTCCTCAATCTAATTACCTAGTCAACCTTTCCTAGCAACAGGACAAGGCTATGCTTTATTTAAATTTTTATATCATTGAAGCGCACAGGTTAAGTGTACTTACTATCTAGTAGTCATATATTATATGCTAGCAAAGATTGCATCACTCTTCCTTGCACACATACAAGAAATACCTAATTAACATAGGTAAGGCACAAATGGAAATCATTCCCTTACTATTTACTATGAAATGTAAACAATTGTTACAGGCTGCCTCAGCCTAATCTCTGAAAGGAGAGGTAGTAGCAGTGATCTTAAAATCCACTGAAAAGTTTAGGTAGAGTTTTTAGTCTACTAGCAGAGAAATAAGTATGACAGATAAATGACGATGCATCTGTAGCTGGGAAGCCATTTTCTAGTGAGGAAACCTTGGGTGTCCTGGCCATGACCTCTAAATTGTTCTCAGTTTGTATTGGCCCACACAACCAGAGGTCAGTCTCCAGAAAGGAACCCAGCTGTCTGTCTAATCAATGCCTAACTAACTCCATTGGCTACTGGCTTCAATGGGGATTAACCAAAGGGATGCTGGGAAAACCTGTCCTCTGCTTTTAAGAGTGGCAGCTGTGGTAGGAGCTTTTAATTAGCTCACAAAGTTTTAAAGAAATAGTTAAAAGTTGGAGCAAGATTATTATCTAGGGCTTTGTAAATTGACACTAAAGGTTTTAAAGTCTGCAACTTGAAAGACTGGAGAATCTCCTCAGTCTAAATGTGTTTTGGTCCCATAAGTGTGCTGCTTTTGGAAATATCTCCTTCTGGTTTCACCCAGAAGTCGGTTCTTTCCACTGTGTGTGTCATGTTCAGTCCTCCAGAGGATACTTGCCCAAAAGACTAAGCTGGGACATAGCTTTTATGTGTGTTCTTCTGGAAAGACAAAATTCTGATATCTCATCTGACCCAGAGACAACGTATGTGTTCCTCATCTAAGATGACTTCTCTGTCTTTGGTGTTAGCAAACACTCATTTTCTATGGGCTTAACTTAGGGAAGAAACATTGTAATAGTCTAGAGTTCTTTCTGATTTTAAATACCTCTGAAAAGTGAAGTACAAAGTAATGGTAAAAGATTGGAAATAAACCAAAGAAAGGAAACTGAAGCAGAACAGGCTTGACATTTCCTTTAGGGTACAGAGGAGGGTCAGAGCCAGTCTGTCCCAGTGAAACCTGTCCTCTAATCCTTAAAGAATGGCCACCAGGATAGTGTGTTTAACCAGTGAAAAGAATCCCATATTTTATTATATAGTTTAAGTTTAAGTTAGACTTTAAGAAAACTTGTTTTATAGAAGTTTATCTTAGAATGTATTAGGAGTATTCTAATATTAGTGTAACACTATTGTCTAAAGGCAAGCAAGGAGTACCAGTAAGTTTAATAACTAATTCAATGCAGCATATACAAGAACAAAATAAGGATAAAAATGTCCTGTTAAAATATCATAACCATTTTTTTATTTAAAGAGAAAAAAAAAGCAAGGAAATAAAATTAAAAAAAAAACAAAGCAACAAAAGGGTATAAATAATACAGAATTTCAAGGAAAAAATACTGTAATATACCACTAGTTAATAGGTTGTATATTGTCATCTTTGAAATAGTTGTCCAAATTATAAAATTAAAGCATGTAAAGTGAACATTCATACAATGAGATTGCAGACAGTGCTGATCAATGATCCAACAAAAGTTCATTAATATGGATTTCCATCCTACACACTCAAACATACATGCAGTTATATCCCTTAGACCACCTTTCTTTCCTCTCTTTTTAATAACAATTACACTTTTTGGGTTTTTTTTAGTCCCACGATTCTTACTATTTTTTTGGAGAGAATAAAACCTAACGTGGCTAAACAAAACAGAGTCGGTTACAACAAAAGGATGGGCATAGTACATGATGTCAAAATAGAATATCAGGTGATCTAAAATGGTTACCATTGTGCCTGTTGCTATTTTTTTAAAAGTTACCTATATCATTAGGTATAATAAAATTGATCAAAACAGTACAGAACAAGACCAACAAAACCTACACTGGAGACCTTACAGGATTTCAAAAGAATAGTCAAACCATAATGGACATCTTAGTGAATCTTATTGCCTTCAAAGTGGTTGCCTATACCCTCAAACTTGATACTATCAAACAAAATAGAATATAGTAAAATCTGACAGAACAAGATGGGGAGAGCAATACTGGGGATCGTATCAGGTTAAAGGGAAAACAAAAAAGTTACTATATCCCGCTATTTTTTAATTTAGTTTTCCCTTGATTGAAAAAAAATGTAAGAAAAAAATAGATTAATTTTTAA